AAGTTCAGGAGATATAAACATGGAAGAGATCAGAAGACACATACCTGAAATTTCTGACAGGATGGCAACTGAAATAAAGAAACAACTCCTGAGGCTACAAAAGAAATTAGAATAGAAACACTCTCAAGTAAAAGAAGAAATGGAAAACATAGTAAAAGAATCATCAAGTACCTCTAAAAAAGACATAGATAAAAAATAGAGGAGCATAGGAAAATGAGGGAAACCTTGAGTGAACAATATAAAAAAGATTTGGAATACATGAAACAGATTGAAGGAGATACCCAAGAAATTAAACACTCCATTGAAAACTAGCAAAACTGTTTGAAAGAAATTGAAGACCAACTTTCAGACCTTGAAGACAGGCATGCACCTTGTGATCATAAGAGGAAAGATCTCAAAAATAACAAGGAAGTAGTAATTCAGTGATTACAAGACAAAGCAAAGCAAAATAACTTAAGAATAATAGGTGTCAGTGAAAAAGCAAGGAGCAACACAACTATTTACAGAAGTAATAACAGAAAACTTTCCAAACATGGGAAAAGAATATGATATACAGATAAGTGAAGTATATAGAACTCCACCTAGCCATAGCCAAAATAAATCTACATCCAGACACATAATAATCAAGACTCCAGAAATTCAACACAAGAACAGGATATCAAAAGTTGTTAGGGCAAAGAAACAGATCACCTACAAAGGAAAACCCATCAGAATCATGACAGATGACCTAAGAAAGATGGCAAAACAGTAAGTGACAGGGTAAATAGCCTCTCTGAAAGAAACAGACCGGATGCTATTTTATAGCATTCTGGAGAAGACCAGAAGAAAACAAAGGGTTCCCCTAGATCCAGGAAGAAACTAAAATGAGAATCAAAGGCCAGAGAGAATTAAAAAGAAAAGAAAAACTTAAACAGAAGGCAGTAGCCAGAGGTGCCTTCACCATAGTGGGTCCCACTGTGCAAGAAGTTCCACTGGAATCCAGAGACACATGGTCACAGTGAAGCAGATGGCTGGCGAGCCTGAGTGCTTCAATTGGGAGACATGGGGGTAGAAAGGAGCAGCGGACCAGAGAACTCTACTGGCTGGTGGTACAGTCTTCCTGCAGGAGTGGGCAATTTTCCAGGTGCCATTTTGGAGTCAGTCAGGATAAGCCTGGAACCAAAAGTGCAGCCAGCTTCATTCAGCCACTTCTAGCACAGAGTAGATTGGTGAACATTGCTTGTACTGAGTCCTGCCCCTATGCATGGTCCAATACCCAAGGCCAAAGTTTCCCTAAAGCTATCTCTAACCAACCCCACCCATGCGGCACACACTAACATGGTGAAAATTCCTTGTGGTTAACCAGCTAGCCTGCCCTACCCATGCTTATACTCCAGTAGTCACAGCAGTTTGGGGAAAGCAGCAAAAAGCAGAAATCCTCAGCCAGCACACTTCAGAGTAATTATAACCAATACAAGAAGTGCCAGGGACTCCATTACCCACTTGTCTGGAAGAAACTAGGAATGTGACAAGAGGAAGAAACAAAAGGCAGTCTCTGGCCTCCAGCCCAAGCAGTACTGATCCAGGAGAGGTAAACACAGAAGACAGCAGGAGTCACACACATGCAGTCTTAAGTAGCAGCAACTTACATAAAGAAACAACTTTTGGGAAACCATAAAAAAACTTAAGACAGAAACACTATTACAAGTAAAGCAAAATGTGAGAAACAATAAGAGAAATACTAAGCACCTCTAAAGAAGACATAGATGGAACAATAGAGGAGCATAGAAAAAGCAGGGAAACCTTCAATGAGGAATATAAAAAAAATTTAGAATACATGAAACAGATTCAAAGAGATTACCAGGAAATTGAAAACTCCACTGAAACATGGCAAAGCTGCTTGAAAGAAACTAAGGATAGACTATCAAAACTTGAAGACAAGTTTTCAATGTGTGATCATGAAAGGAAAGATCTCTTAAAAATAACAAGGAAACAGGCAGTACAAATACAAAGGCTAGAAGATGACAAGAGGATCTATAACTTAAGAATAAACAGTGTGAATGAAGAAGCAGGGGTTAAAACAAAGGAAATACAAAGTCTATTCACAGTAATAATTCAGGAAAACTTCCCAAGCATAGGAAAAGGAAATGATATTCCGGTGTATGAGGCATACAGAACTCCAGCCACCTACAACCAAAACAGAGCTACACCCATAGTGGCACTGGCTTCAGTGAAAGCTTGTCTGGCTATTGCCTTTTGTTGAAGTTTTCTCTTTCTTTCTTTCTTTCCTTCTTTCTTTCTTTCTTTCTTTCTTTCAGTTCTCTCTGTGGGCTTTAATTCTCACTTTGGTTTCTTCCTGAGTCAAGGGGATCCATTTCTTTCCTTCTGGTCTCCTCCAGAATGCTATATTCCAGCATCTGGGCTGTTTCTCTCAGAGGGGCTTTTTACTCTGCTGCTTACTGTTCCACCATCTTCCCAGAATCTGCAAAATTTAATTATTTAGAAAAAAATTATTACATTTTAGCACCCTTGTGGAAAAAGTTGAATGTTACAGGTAAAAGCTAACCTACTTTTCAATAGTCAAGCATATTGCTACTGTATCATAAGAAAAATATTCTGTATTTCTTATGGAGCCATATATTAAATGCTTTAGCCTATGGACCATTGTGGCTGTGTTGTGGCTATGCAATTCTCTTACTGTATTGGCAAAACAGCAACAGACAATGTGAAGACAAATTAGCCCAGTAAAAAAATTTTATTACAAAAATAAGCACTCAGTCCATGGGCCATGATATTTGGGTTCCAGTACACATTGGCATATTTTCAACTTTAATCAAAATATTGTCAACCTATTTCACAAATTTTGAGGTAAAACTAATTACATAATGTCCCAAGTTAATGAATTTATTGATTTTATTTTTCTTACCACAAATAAGTACTATGATATAGTCAGACTTCTCAGCACAAGCCATCAAATCAAGAAGAGCTTGAAGTATTTCAAGTCCTGAAAGAAAAAAGCTTCCAACCCAGATTGTTGTACCCTGAAAAACTATCTTTCAAAATCATTTTATCACAAAGAACAACTTAAGGAACTCATGACCACCAGACCAACCCTACAAAGAATACTGAAGGCCATTCTAGAGAGAGATAAAAAAAAAAAAAAAAGATCACAGTTCCAGGAACAGTAGCAGGTTGGGATCACCAAGTGAGGGGCAGACAACTGAATGGAAGGGAAAAGTAGGCAGCCAACAGCAGGAAAATAGCATGGCAATGACACAGCAGTGCATGTTGGCCATCGCGTCAATGTAAATGGCCTAAATTCACCAATAAAAAGAACACAGGCAGAGTGGATCAGGCGACAGAATCTATCAGTATGCTTTATACAATAAGCACATTTAACTTGAAAGGGGTTCATAGACTGAAAGTCAAAGGAGAGAGAACAATGCTGTATGTGACAAGGAACCAGAAAGAAGTGGGAGTAGCTTGCCCATCAGCTACAGAGTGGACAAGAAATACATGGCACTTTTTTATTTTAAAGAGGATAAAAATTGAACACAACAGAACAGAACAAAGCAGAACATAAGAAAGCAATGTAAGAGAAATAAATTCAAAGCAAGACAATCAGAGATCTTCACTATCTATCATATTGTCTGTTTTCTTCCAAATACTTGACCATATTTTAATATACAGAGAATTCACACAAAACAATGTAGTATACAACTGATCTGAACAAGACGAGGAAGGTGTTTTAGGTCTTCAAGATCAGACAACAGGGAAGTCAATAATGGCTGTCATAGTGTCTCTCATTCTCTTCAAAATAGCTGTTCATACCTTCATGTAAGTTAAAATTAAATGAAACAAAACAGGCTAAAATCACCCCGAACAAAGAATAATAATATTGCTGGATTTCACATCATGATGCTATGGAATCAACACTGGGTACTGTAATGTCTCTTTTTCCTCAGAATAGTTGCTCATTTCATCACGCATTATGTGATTGGTTCTCGTAACTGTTTATAGGTTCTATGTATGCATGAGTCTCTACATATATTTCTATCCTTTCTTTATTAGAGGGAAAAACCAAAGCAAGACAAAGCAAAACATATTCCTATAAAAACATGAGATGAAAAAGTCATATAAAACCACAGTACAAGGTGATCTACAATGATTACTGTGTTGTTTATTGTTATCGTCAATAGAATTGTCCATATCATCAGGCATAGTATAATTGAATATAGCAATACATAACAATATTAATAAAAACAAAACATTGTAGACAGTGTAAAATTTCAAAAGCAAGTAATAATCAAACCAGAATGGATATTCTAGTGAATCTTGTCATCTTCAGTGTAATTGTCTATACTCTCAGATGTGATAACTATCTATCATAACAGACTTGAATAAAATCTATTGATACAAAACAGCAGTCTAACAAACCAGACTCAACTGAGATCAGTCAAGGTAAAACAGTGTAAGTTATACAGGATTTCAAATTAAGTTAATAGATGATTACTGTATATATTCTTCTATTTTTGGGATAGCTGACTGTGCCCTCAGATCTAGTGCAGGTAGACAAACTAGAACAAAATGTAATCCATCTAAGGAGAGCAAAGTGAGTAATGTGGGTTTTAAATCCTGATACACTGTTAACAATATCCTCTGCTTTCTTTTTTTAGACTATTCCTCCCCTTTCACTCCCTCAGGGTGCACTGTGCATTTTGGGTCCCACCAACTCCCTCAGTTTTTAGATTAAGGGGGCAACCTGCTATTTTACTTAAGTGGTTCTGAATCTTCTCACTCCTGGACTTGATTTCAAGTTGTATTCCTTTACCTACAAAAGCCTGTCTTCCCAACCTATCTGCAGGTGCTGGTCGAGTTGCCTCTATTTCTCTCTGATTCCCTATCACATAGAGCATTGTTTTCTCATATTTGATTTTTGGTCCATAAATCCTTTTTCAGGTTAATTATATTTCCTATACAGAACATCTCAATGGACCCTAGCTCTTGATCTATTCTGCCTGTTTCTTTCTTTTTTTTTTTTTTTTTAGTGTATCAAGGCCATTTAGAGATTATAGCCAACCTTTTCTGCCTCATTTCTGCTATACTATTTTTCTGCCACTGGTTTTCTGCTTTTTTCCTTCATTCCACTATCTGCTCCATTCATTGAGCCCTCTATGTCACTATTTCTGAAATCTTGGTGGTTTTTTCTCTCTCTAGAATGTCCTTCAGTATTCTCTGTAGGGTTGGATTGGTGATCACAAATTCTGCTATTTCCTCTTTGTCATAGAAGCATCTTGTATCTCCATTAATTTCTAGAGACAGTTTTGCAATCTGGGTCAGAGGTTATTTTCTTTCCGGGCTTAGAATACTTCGCTCCAAGCTCTTCTGGATTTGATGGTCTGTGTCAAAAAGTATGCCATGATTTTAATGGGTTTTCCTTTATAGGTGATCTGTTTCTTTTCTCTGATGGCTTTAATATTCTGTTCTTATGTTGAATTTCTGGGACCTTGATTATTGGATGTAGGTAGCTTGATTATTATGTTTGGGTGTAGCTCTGTTTTGGTTGTAGGTAGCTGGAGTTCTGTATGCCTCATACATCGGAATATCATTTCCTTTTCCTATGCTTGGGAAGTTTTCCTTAATTATTTCTGTAAATAGCCTTTGTATTTCCTTTGTTTTAACCCCTGCTTCTTCATTCACATTGTTTATTCTCAAGTTATAGATCCTCTTGTCATCTTTCTAGACTTTGTATTTGTACTGCCTGTTTCCTTGTTATTTTTAAGAGATCTTTCCTTTCATGATCACACATTGCAAACTTGTCTTCAAGTTTTAATAGTCTATCCTTAGTTTCTTTCAAGCAGTTTTGCCATGTTTCAGTGGAGTTTTCAATTTCCTGGTAATCTCTTTGAATCTGCTTCATGTATTCTAGGTTTTCTTTATATTCTTCATCAAACATTTCTCTCCTCTTTTTGTGTTCCTCCATTCTTCCATCTGTATCTTCTTGAGAGGTGCTTAGTACATGGCATTTTTATACAGTGGAAATATACTCAGCTATAAAGAAAGACAACCTTGAGGCTCTTGTAGTTAAATGGATACAACTTCAGATTATACACATGGGGAAATGGTTCAGAGTCACATGGCTAAATATTGTGCTGTCTCCATAGTGTAGAAAACTGGGGAGGTAGTGAGATCCAAAAGGCACAGTACATATTGTGAAAGTGAAAAAGGAGGAAGTGGCTAAAAAGGAAAGGCAATGGCCATTATTAATGTATTATTGTGATTTGAAGCCCATATGGTTTGCATTGTACTGTTTACTTTGGTTTTATTCAGTTTCAGTTTGTCTAATTTTATTATATTTGATGACTTAGATAGCTATTTCTAAAATAACAAAACATATTACAGTAGCCATTACTAATTTCGTATTATCCTGTTTTGAGACTATGTTTGGCTTTCATTGTTTTGTTTTGATTGATTTTATTCTGTTTTGTTTGATTGTATTATATCTGATGATATAGGCAACTACTTTGAAGATAAGAGGCATTATGATAGCCACCATTGTTTTACTAGTATATCATTTTGAAGTCCTGTACTGCTTCCATTGTTTGTTTTTATTGGTTTTATTCTGCACTAGTTTGTTTGATTTTATTATCCCTGGTGGTATGGGCAGTTATTTTGAAGATAACGAGAGGAACTATGGTAGCCATTATTGATTTCCTTTTTATCTTGTTTTGAAGCCATGTACCATGTTCATTATTTCATTTTGATTGACTCTATTCTGCTTTATTTCATTTGGTTTTATTCTCTCCAAAATAAAAAATTAAAACTAAAATTTTAAAAATTGCATCTTGAAGGACCATGTAGCAAGAACCCAAGAGAACATCCACAGCTGAAGCAATGCCATGATAATAGTAAACAAGGAAACAGACTTCACTTCTGGAGCTGTGAATAACTAAACTCTGTGGACAATCTGAAAGATCTGGATAGAGCATCTCAAGTTCCTATGATGCCTTGAAATCAGTTCCCAAGATCCTGAAGAGAGAATCCAGCTATGCCCAGACTTCTGATCTATAGAAATTGTGACATATGAAATGTCACATTTAATCCCCTAAGTTTGTAGTAGTTTGTGACACAGGATTATAAAATTAACATGGCAATTATATACTGGCAATAACATTCAAACAGTTGTATTGAAAAAACTTGTAAATCATCTGTTTGGAATTGAAATGTTATTTCTGAGAAACAAATTAAAAACAATTTTAAAAAGTATAGATTGACTGATATTTTAAATATGTAATTAGATTTCTCAAAAGTAGGCATCTGAGAATAAACCAGGTATAACATCGCTCTGATCTCCACATCCTGGAGCTGCACAGCACAAGTGTAGATCAGAGCTGTAGGATGGATGGACTACGAAGGCATCCAAAAGCAAGAGAATGAATGGCCGCATTTCATGGAAACAAGGTGCTGTGACATATCTAGGATGATCTCTCTATTTAACATCTCAAGCAGCAGTAAAGTATCACAGGACAGGGCACAGAGTTTGGGAGTGGAATTTTTCCCCAGTGTGATGTAAGAACCTAAAGGCTTGTGTGATTGAAAGAGAAGAAATCAAAGGGCCAAAAATCAATCCAAGTTAAGTCATTAAAGAGTTCAAGTTTTCTTTAACTTCTGAGGAGCAAAGAGGACTTAAGGTAAATTCAGGGCAAAGGAAGTTCTGTAATATTCAATGTTACACCTTCATGAAATTCAAGAGCCCTCTAGAGGAGCAGTATTGATAGAAAATATACCATTATGCAAGGGAAGTTATTAGGTAGGCTTACAGGATGTACACAGGAAATTCTCAGGAGAGAAAATCAAGTCACTGGTAAACAAAGTAAATACTTTGAAGTCATCCATTACATTCAAGAAAAAACATGCTATGGGCATTTTGAGGCAGTTATGTAGGGAAATAAGAGTCACACACTGATAATAAAAGTGTAAATTATTCCAGTCACTTTTTAGAGTGATTCCTAGTAACTGAAGCTATTGACCCAGGCATATCATCCCTATGTAGCCATCCAAGAAAGAATTGAATCCTATAAACAAAGATACATATTAAAAAATGTCCATGCACTATTTGTGATACCAAACTGGTGAAAATAACCTATTATCAAATGGTGAGGTTTAAATTACCTGTTGCCTAAACATATGAAATACTATAACATAAGTGAATTTAGTAGAATGAAAAGGGGAAACTACAAACCATAGTTATAAAGAAGAAAAGTTTGGAAAAGACGTCATATATAGTGTAAAATTTCAGTGATATCATCCAATGTAGCTTATACTACATTCATGTACTAATAAAATACATAGGTTTTAATTTATAATACATATATTATTCATTAGTACATATACACAAGATCAATACATAAATCCATACTTTGGCATAATAAACATTTATCTGGAGAATAGAGCTTACACTCTGTAATAGACTATACATCTAACAAGAGAAGAATTTGTTTATAGCTCTTCCCTGTATCTAGGAGAGATCATAGATATAAATGTAGTTACAGATATATAGATCATGATTTATGAGGTAGGCTTACAATGGCTACCTGCAGAATTACATATAGAAGAGTCCAAAAGACTCAATGAGCTGGAGATTGCAAGAATCCCATCAAAAGTGAAAGACCTGGAGCTCACTGTGTAAGTCCATATCAGGAAGTCGAAGTGTCTTCAGTGGAAGGCAGAAAGGTCTGGCCTAGAAAACAGGAGATGGATATGCAGGGCAAAAAGAAAGACTGAAGCTCCTCTGAAGAAACAGATGCAAGCCTTCCTCCTTCTTTCTCCTCATTCCATTAAGGCTACAAGCCACTTGGTTGGTGTCACCCAGGGTCTTCCCTCTTCAGGAAGTCTATTGTCCACACCCAGAACTATGTTAAGCCAATCAACTGGATGCTTCTTACCTAGGTTGACATAAATGTTAATTACTACAGTATTCAATGATTATCTTGTGTAAATGAATGAATGAATGGTTACATGTAGAAACAGTATGATAAGAACAGAATGAGGGAGGCTTTTAAATGTATTTGGAACATTTCTTTATAAAGTAGTTTGTTTCACATATAACAAAGGGAATCGTCAATTAAATCTGAGTGACAGGATTTTTACTTTTTTGAGATATACGATTTAAACTAAAAACTCAAATGTGCATCTATAAGACATTCTTCCTACACCAGATGTAAAATATTAACAACTTTTTCCACTACTATAAAAAATCTTTAGTCTTTTTTTATTCCATGGGCAAAGACTTGCAGTGCACAAATGAAAGAAATGACCTATATTTTATATGCTGTAGAATACAATTTGAACTCAACAGTTGAGCTACTGCTCTATTTACAAACACAAGTAATAAACTCTTTTATTGAAAAATTTCATTACCACCTCATTTGGTAAATTTTAAATGAATATCTAGAAGGAATCATTAATACAGAGGAAACAATAAATATTCTTCTAAGTGTTAAATTATCTACCTTTTGTTTAATTACACTTATTTTAATTCCATTTCATCGTAAAAGAAACAACAAAAATATACTACAGGCTAGACACTATCCTAAGGGATAAATAGTCAGAAGTCTAAGACATAATGCCTGGCCTGTCTAACCTCATAGTGTAGCAAGCATGCTAAAGAAGTATTCATTGTGATACAGACAACAGTTACCACAGAGTTATTTGAATGTATAAAGCGGGGCCTCCAGATTGAGGACCCTAAGGAAGGCCTTCTGGAAGAAATGACAGGTGAGCTGGATTAAGGATCAGTGCCTGCAAAACAGAAAAGGTAATGGAGTAATGGATGGTAAGTGATGACAGATTTTTTTCTCCACTTGAAAAGGAAATACTTATAAAATCCCAAGTAGAGCTAGAAGTCAGAACACATTTGAAGGTTACTGGTAGAATAAACAGGTGTGGCCTAAAAAGATGCCTTTGCAGTGACAGGAGAGAATGTTGGGAACACAGAAAACTACACCATGAGCCCTGTTACAATACAAAGTTGATGATTTTAGAGTCTTTCGTAGACTGAAAGGAACTACTACTAACCTTATGCTTTGGGGTAACACTTTCAGACGAGGTGTGACATAGAAAGGGTATTTTGTAGTGGTTTCAAATAGAAGCCAAGGAGAATAAACATCTGTTCAAGTAAGAGATGACAAGTCTTCCCTTATCCACAACCATGCTGTGGGACAAGAGAAAGAATGTTAATTAAAGCACAGTGAGGACCTAGGATCTGTATCTGTGGATGTTTGTGTCAGGCTATTAGAAGGACCACAACTACATCCCTTGCTATATCCTCTTCAATGTGACTTTGCAAGTCTTTCCATAGAATTATAGAACCTCTTTCCCTCCCCACATTTTGAATCTCTCTGGTCTCACACCTTTCTTGGAAAAGAAAATGAAGTAGATGTGACACTACCAACTTCCAAACTGACCTCCTCTTCTTGGGCACTGACATGATGATGATTGTTCTCTCCTAAAAACCCACTGAAACGCAAGTGAGAGAAATGTTTATAAATGAGCTTAAACACCCATAAAAAGAGATGTCTTGCTTACTTTTCTCCCATTGCTGGGACAAAATACCAACACCCAAAATGAAAGGTAGGAAAGGTTTATTTAGCTCACAGTTTGTGAAGGTTTCAGTCCATACTCCTGTGACAGGTAGCGTGGCTCCAGGGGCAGTGCTTCAAGGCAGCAGCCATCAAAAGCAGCCAGAGCAAAAGTGGGTAACCGCAAGGCTCTTTTCTTCCTTTATATTGTACACAGGCCACCCTCTCTCCTCTTACACAGGATGAGGCTATTTACAAAGTAAGGATCCTGGATCCCTGCTGAGTCTCTCAGTTAATGAGTTAAAATACTTTAGAAATGTGGTCATCTGGTCTAAATGTAAAACCATGCTGCATAACTAAACCTTATACTGCTATACAAGTTAAGGCATCACCTGTGTGCATAATTTCCACAAAACCTTAATCACTGACTTCTGAATGGTTACTGCCATTACATAAGATTTCTGTATCCTGGTTGTCTCACAGTCAGTTTTAGTACTACAGCTGCATTGGTGGGTGATAAATGAGAAATATTTAGAGCAAATTAAAAGCTAATTATTAGAGAGACTGGAAAAATGGCAACTTGATAGGAAACTGTATAGAGAACGTCTGTGGGGAAAACAGCTCAGATGCTAGAATTTGACAACATGGAGAGGGCTAGATGATTGAAGAATGATTCTTATTAAGCCAGGAGGAAACTGAAGGTAAAAATAAAATTAGGAAGAGGAAGGAAAAGTACAGGTGGAGGGCTGAAGCCCAACATGCTCACTGAGACCTGGTCCGCACTATGCTGGGCACATCCTAGAGTTGGACCATCCAAAGTCATGCTGAAGCCACAGCCACTGGTAAGGGGAATTGATGAGTCTTGGGCCCTTGACAGGAAGACATGGTGCAATTTGGAGTGGAGCCAGGGTGGAAAGCTTTATAGGCTCTTGGTGAGTCCTGGAAATTGGGTCCTGGGACCGCGCAAAGCAGCCAGAATTGCCTGGCCATGCCAGAGGAGGCCACGGAGAGGACCACATGCCTGGGCACCAAAGCTGGGCACCATACAGTTTTCTGAGGAGGCAGGATGCTGATCTAGACATGAAAAAACATCAACCTAGAATCTACCTCTGTGGAGGAAGGAAAAATGCAAGTAGAGGGCTGGAGCCCTATGTGCTCACTGAGACCAGTCAGCACTGTGCTTGGAGCGGCATGGAGTCAGGCAATTCAAGGTCAAGCTGAAGCCATGGCTGCCGATAACAGGAATTATTGAGTCCTGAGCCCTTGGTGGGAGGACATGGCACAGTATGGACTGGAGCCAAGATGGGGAACTGCATTGATTCCCAGTGAGAGCTGGGGATTGGGTCCCATGGCTGCTGTTACTGGCTGGAGGACATCTTGGAGTTGGGCAGAGCCCGACACCATGGCTGTGTCAGTTGGCCACCCTTAACACAGAGAGGATTGCTGGGCTCTGCTGGGGCTGAGCTAGGCCTTTGGTTGGAACCCAGTAGCCAGGGACAAAAAGGTCACAACTCTGTGACATCCACAAGGTACAGCCTAAGTTGCTGGAGGAAATTGTGGATCAACTGGCTCAGAGGCTGGAGGCTAACCTGTACCATCCCTGCATCCTTATGTGCACCTCAGATAACAGCAAATTTGGGAGGGCAGCATAACCCCAGTCAACATGATTCGGAAAGACCCTAAGCAATACAGAGAGGGCCAGAGACCCCCTGGACACACCTATCTGAAACAAACCAGAAACATGGCAAGAGATTGAAATAAAAAAAACCTCCAGCAGCTGACCCTCAGAAAATAATCCCAAGAGAGGTAAATACATAAGAGAACCAGTTCAGTAATCATGCAATGTTAGACACTGCATCAGTGGTCATAAATATCCTCATGACCTCATACATGAGTTTAAAACTGTATTTCTGATCCAAGTGAAGCAAGATATAAAAAGATTAATTAAAGAAAGGATAAGCCCCTCCCAAGAGAACACAGATGGAAGAATGGAGGAACTCAGAAAAGGAAGAGAAACCTTTCATGAAGAATATAAACAAAATCTAGAATAGATGAAACATATACAAAGAGATTACCAGGAAACTAAAAACTCCATTGAAAGCTGGCAAAATGCCTTGACAGAAACTAAAGTTAGCCTTTCGAAATTTGGAGATTTATGATGTGTGAACATGAAAGAAAAGCTCTCTTAGAAGTAACGAACTAGGAAGAAACACTTCAAAGGCTAGAAGACGACAAGAGGATTTATAGCTTAAGAATAAAAAATGTGAGCGGAGAAGCAGGAGTAACCACAAATGAATTACAAAGACTATTCACAGATATAATTAAGGAAAACTTCCCAAGCATAGGAAAAAGAAATGTTATCCAGATGAAAGAGGTATAAAGAACTTCAGCCACCTACAACCAAAACAGATCTACACCCAGAAATGTAATTATCAAGATTCCAGAAATGCACCACAAGAACAGAATATTAAAAGAAGCCAGAGAAAAGAAGCAGATCACCTACAAAGGACAAATCATCAAAATAATGACAGACTTACCAACACAAACTCTCAAACTGATAAGAGCCTGGGGGGAAATAGTCCAAGCCTTGAAAGAAAATAACCTCCAACCAAGACTGATGTACCTGGAAAAACTCTTTCTCAAAATTAATGGAGAAACAGGATATTTCCAAGACAAGGAGGAACTGTGGGAGTTCATGGCTAGCAACCCAACCTTACAAAAAATACTAAAAGACATTCCAGAGAAAGAGAGAGGAAAAAATACCAGGATTCCAGTAACAGTGGCAGAGAGGCCTCAATGAACGGGGCAGACAGTGGAATGAAGGAGTAAAGTGGACAAATAATAGCAGAAAAATAAAATAACAGAGATGAGGCAGAAATGGTAAGCTATAATTTTTAATATAGATAGTCTTGATACACTAACAAAAGAGAAACACAGGCAGAGTAGATTAGGAGGCAGGATCTACCAAGATGCTCTGAATAGGAAATACACTCAACCTGAAAGAGGGCTAATAAACTGAGAGTCAAAGATGAGAAAACAATGTTATACGTGACAGGAAACCAGAGAGAAATAGATACAACTCATCCAGCAGCTGCAAATAGGTTGAAGTTATGACACTTTTGTGCAGTATAGAACTATATAACTGGAAGGAAAGAAAACCTTGTGACTTTAGTAAGTAAGAGTACAGCTCAAGATCAAGCTCAGGGGTAAAAAGGTTCAGCAGCACTCAGGTAGACAACAGGTTGACCCCTTAATCTAAAAACTAAAGGAGCTAGTGAGACCCAAAATATACAAACTTCCTGAAAAGGGGAAAGGTGAAGAATTACCTAAAAAAGGGAGGCGGAGGACATTGTTAAAAGTGTATCAGGATTTAAAAGCCACAGTAGCCATATCGCTCTATTTAGTTTGATTATATTTTGTTCCAGTCTGCTACTCATGTGAGATTTGAGGGCACATACAGCTAACCCAAAAATATCAGGTTGTACCACGGTAACTACCCTTAATTTCCTATTAACTTAAACTGAAACCTTGTATTACTTACATTGTCTTACTATTGCTGATCTTATTAGAAGCTGGATTGTTAGACCACTATTTTGCCTTGAATGATTTTGTTCAAATTTGGTATGCTTGATAGTATCAAGTCTACGAGCAGAGGCAACTACTCTGAAGATGACAAGATGTAAAAGATATTCATTCCAGTTTGATTATTAACTGCTTTCACATCTTACAATGTCTTCAAAGTTGTGTTTTTATAAAAATAGCTATGTAATGCTATGCTTAACTATAATGCCTAATGATGTGGCCAATTCTATTGAAAATAACAAGAGAAAACATAGTAACTACTATAGATCACCTAATATTGTGGTCTTTTATGTCTTTTTCATTTCATGTTTTTCTAGGAATTTGTTTTGTTGTCTTGTTTTGATCTGTTTTTCCCTAAAATACAGAAAGGAAAGATATACATGAAGAGATTCACACATTGGGAGAATTTCTAAACTATTTACGGGAACAGATTATATAATACACGATGTAATCAACAGATACTCTGAAGAAGAAGAGACACTAAGAAACCCAATGCTAATTCTGTAGCATTATGATATAAAATCTAGCAATAATATTATTCACTGTTCAAAGTGATAATAGTCTAGTCTATTATGGTCAATTTCAGCATACGTAAAGATAAAAACAGCTACTATGAAGCGAATGAGAGATATTATGATAGTCATTATTGACTTCCCCAAAATCAGGTCTTGAAGACCTAAAAAGCCTTCATCATCCTGTAATGACTGTGATTAGCTCTATAATGCTCAGTATATATTCACTGTGTGTGAAGATAGGGACAACTTTTTGGAAGAAAACTAGAGACAATAAAATAGACAGTGGAGATCTCCAGTGGACTTCCTTTGAAATCTGTGTTTCTTTAAATTGTTTCGTTATGAACTGTTCTGTTCCGTATTGTCATGTTGAATCTTACCCTCTTGAAGATAAAAAGCAAGTGTGTAGGACTGATAACCATATTATTAAGTTTTTGTGGGATCATTGAGCAAAACTGTTTGCAATGTCATTATTTGAATGCCACTTTGTATGCTTTAATTCTGTAACTTGAACAACTATTTCTAAGATGACAATGTGTAACATATCAACTAGTGATTTCTTACTGTTTATTTTTCTGAAATTCTGTATTATTTCTGCCCTTTTTCTGTTTTTTCTCTTTAAATAAAAAAGCAAATTATTAATTTTCTTGATAAATAGAAATTTAGCACTTAAGTTAGAATTTATTAAGCATACACTTCTTATTTTCTAGATCATTCTTGTTTCCAAAATTTATTGTGAAATCTAAAAATTATCAGACCAAACCGGGTTTAGCAGCTCACACCTGTAGTCCTAGCACTTGGCAGGCTGAGGCAGGAGGATTGTTGCAAGTTCAAGAACAGCCTGGACTACAAAGTAAGCCCAAGGACAGCCTGAACTACCTAGTAAGACCCTGTCTCAAACCCACAAAAAATATTATCAGACCAGATAATTATAAAGTCAGTAAAGTATAAAATTTTAAATTTTTTTAAAAGTATAAAAATATCAGGAATGTACCAGTAATAAGTGCTGTATATTAAAATTGTTTGGTTGCTCTTTCCCACTCATATTTTTGTTCACCTAGCCTATGATTTCTGGTTTATCACTAATTTTACTCATTACCAACTGGTGGTCTGGCAATTTTCTGAACCTTGTAAGTTACTGGAAAGCTCATGGTATAACTGGGTATTGTAACTGAAGCTTACAAACCACAGCCACGGTTCTTCTCTCACTACCTTCCAGAACTGGGAAGAACTAGCTTCCCGTGACCTCTTATGTCTGTTGTACTTTGAATTCTCAGTCTTTGAAAAGAAAGTGCTTGTTACCATATACCTAAAAAAGTGATAAGGAAAAAGAGAAAATAAATGACTATTAATTGTTTTTCAGATTTCACCAGATATTAAAGAATTCTTCTCTCCACACAAGAAGCTCAAAACTATGAGATCATGACAGAAGTCAGAAGTACACAGTAGGTGTCTACACAACACTTTCCAAATTATTGAAATGTAACTTCCGGTTATAGTACCTCATTAAAAATGGAAAAGCAAAAAAGAAAACTTTAAACAGATGGGACATCAGGACAATAGACTCAAACCTGTAATGTTCTTGGGAAACTGAGACATAAGGGTTTCTTTTTTGTGACCCTTGGTGGCTCCTTTCTAGGTCTTAGTCCATTAGCCTAAACCAAAGACTCAGGTCCTGTCAGAAAGGAATCTAACCAGGCAAAATGTGCCAGGAGAGCCAGGAGGAAGAGAATTACTCTTGGTTTTCTCTCTGAATACTAGCACAATGGCTATGTAACTGTAAGCCCTCAAGGTAAGTCAGTTAATAATTTGTTCTGTATAAAATGCTTCTGGATCTAATATGCTCAGAGACACACACAGCACAGTCATTTCTTAGAGGCAGCCCTCAGTCCTGTACAGACATGTCTCAATAAGGCAGGAAATGAAAAAACAAAACCCTTGTTTATTTTGCTTTTAAATTAATGTCTCTTCAAATTGGATAACCCTATGTCTTTTCCCCTTTCTCATCTCTAGACGCATGATTTGTTCCCAGTGATCCAAGGAAGTTACTCATCAAAGTGAAGAAAAGACTTAAGACAGAGAACTTGCAGAGTGTGTGACTAGATTAATCGATTCTATTAACTGTATAGCACAAAATGCTGTGTGCTTTCTGATACTCAATGACTTCGTAAAGGCTTCATGACTCACCTGCTTTTTCCTCTCACACTGAATAGATGTGATCAGCACAGCGCCAGGACCTCACTCCAGATGCAAGAGTACACACACAGGGCCTGTTTGCCTCCCCTCATTCCGTGGCTTCTGGTCACCCTGAAAGGCCAGAGGGGAGGGAGGAAGGCTATTCCTCAAAAAACAATCAAGAGTCCTTCTCCTGTTCCCACCTAAAACCATCAGCTGCAGTCTTCTGTGTGGCTTCTGTCCTAAAAGTGCAGGGATATTGAGAAAAGAATGCTTCTGTTCCTTATCTACTTGCTATTTATGGGAGTCTGTGTCAGGGATCTAAACTTGCCCTTCCTCCAGGAGAGATAAGTGCCACTCCTCCTGGAGAAGAATCAATACCACAATATAAAATGATCACAGTGGCTTCACGGACAAGGCATTTGGAGCCCATAAATACTAATCTGAAAGAGAGTGAGCCCTATAAATTGCGTGCTCATCAGCTATTTTTATACATGTGGACACTGAGACCAGAGCAATGTGAAATTATCCAGCATACCAGCTCTTTGCAATCAAGATGTAGACCCAGATCTCCTGATTCCTTACCCTGTTTTTGAAGAAAAAAAAATAAAAGTAGTATAGAAGGCTGCTGGGGGCCAATGGAAGACAGAAAGTTGTCCCAGACAGAAAAAAAATGCCAGAAAACAGGAATTGTAGCGATACCAGAGAAAATCCATTTGGGCCTCAGTTGTCCGATTGTCCCTAGAGTGGTTAGGGTGTCCGAAGGAGCCGCAGAGGGGCAGAAGCGAAGCTGTTTTCCACAACCAGAAACATTTTGCCCCTGATCCTTCCTTATTCCTCCAAAAGTATAAAATGCAGCAAAATCCCATGAGCTTCAACCAGAGTCAATGCGCCTTGAGTCCTAGTGGATTAGAATCTGCATTTTAACAAAATCTCCAGGTGATCTGTGTAGACACTAAAGTATGAGACACCAGGGTAAGGTGTGTGAGTAGGGTCTACAGAGCAAAAGCAGTCCCACTTTTGCCAAATCCTGTCTGCTTTCCACAAGTGCCGGCAGAAATCATGATTTCTACCTGCCTTGCTGTAAACTGTTTCTCCTCTGCGATGCCCCTTTGCCATGCCAACTTGCCTTGGAGCCAGGTGACTATGGGACAAAACTTCCTCAAGTGGAAGGAACATTCTGGGAGCATTGGCTTCACTGAGAACCTTGTCTCACAGGGAGATGCTTGACTTTAACAAAAGCTTGGGAGGAGCATCCTCCCTTGTGTGTGCAATCTGAAAGGATCTCTGCCTCTCCAAGAATCCAGATTAGCTCCTCAGGTCTCTGCTGTTGCCAGAAAGAATATGACCTTTCCACTATACCACATACCTGCAGGGATTGATTTTAGAGAAGAAAGGTTCATCACACTCACCATCTTGGAGGGGTCAGTCCATTCGTCCTGATTCCTTTTGGGCCTGTGATTAGGCAGCAGCACTGTGGGGAGTGTGGTGGAGGAACCTGCCCACTTCTTGGTGGATGGGAAGTAAAATAAAGAACAAGACTTGTGTCTCGCTGGCCCTTCTGAGATGCGCTAATGACCAGAAGACCTCTCTCATCATCTTTTAAAGGCTACACTGTGCCAGTGCCACACTTAACTAATTGGTATGTGTCATCTTTGGGAGAAATAAAGATCCAAATTGGAGAAGATGTGGCTATTCAACAAGGCTTGCATTCGACAGTTGGCCATGGGTACTCTCTGTGCCGGGTCAGTTCCCCACTGCCATCCTGGGATTCTGTGAACCTGCAGTGACAGTTACCTGTGTGCCAGCAGCCTGTCTCCTCTTGTGTGTGCCTCTGTATCCTCTGCTCTGCCTTAGACCTGTGTTCTGGAGCGCCCTGGAAGTACAGGGAGCTCTGCCCATCAGGGCTGCTCTGGCCAAGGGGAATGAGATTTGGGGGGCAAATTTTCTGGTCTCCCTTCCATCAGGGGCAACTCTTCTCACACACTTCCTCTGAGAGGTAAGCACAGGTACCTGGAGTGACAGCTGACTCTGTACCCCTGCTTGCCCCCTCTTCTTTCTCCATCTCCCTCTTTGCATTCCTTCTCTCCAGCACCCTGGGCTCATCAGTAACTACCCTGCACCCAAGACTGGTCTCAGGCGATGCCCTTCAGGAAGCCCAATGAAGACAGAGAACTTGAAAAGTGTCCTTGAAAATGTGAACTTCAAAAATGGCAAATAAATACATGAAAAAATGTTCATCATCATCACTCATTAGAGAAATGCAAATTAAAACCACACTGAGATTCCATCTCACTCCTGAAAGAATGGCCAGGATCAAGAAAACTACCAACAACAAATGCTGGAGAGGCTGTGGGGAAAAAGGAACTCTCTTGCACTGTTAGTGTTAGTGGAGACTGGTGCAACCACTGAGGAAGTCAGTCTGAGGATTCCTCAAAATGCTGGAATTGGAAGTCCCCATTTGACCCAGCTATTCCACTTCTGGACATATTCCCAGAAGAACTGAAAACATCATACCAAGTGATGTGTGTGCACCCATGTTTATAGCAGCACAATTTGTAATAGCCAGATCTTGGAAACAACCTAAGTGTCCATCAACTGAGGAATGGATAAAAAGCTGTAGTATTTTTATACAAATGGAGTACTACTCAACTATAAAGAATGATCACATTGAGATATTTATAAATAAATGGGCTAAACTTGAGACCATACTTATAAGCGAAATAAATCAAACTCACATGTATAAATATCGTATAGTCTCCCTAGTGTAAGAAATGGTAAGAGTACATAAGAGTTTATGGTAATCATGATTCCCCATTACATTGCTTTGAAGCCTTATAATGATTGCGTTCATTAGTTGGAATGGGTTTATCCTGGCTTGTTGGATTTCATTATCTATGATTTTATGAACAGCTATTTTGAAGAAAACAAGACAATATAATAGCTAGTGCTGACTTAATGTCATCTTACTCTGAAGTCCTACCATGCTTTTGTTCTTCTGTTTCCATTGGTTCTATCATGCTGTATCTTATTGGATTGTATTATGTGTGATAGTATAAACAAATTTTTATGGAAAATGAGATAACAGAGTAGCCAATGTTCATTTTCTGTTATTTGGTTCAGAGTGCCCTGTAATACTTTCATTCTCTTGAATGGTTTTATACTATTTTTTATGTTTGATACTATTGTATATGAAGTTATGCTCAACTATTTCAAAGAAAGAGACATTATGGTAGTTTCTGGTAATTATGGGTTGTCTTCTGGTGAAATACTGTGCTGCTCATGTTGTTCTGTTCTGACCTGCTTTGTTATATCCTGTTTTGTCTTAATCTCCTTAAAATAAAAAAAGAGAAAGAAAATGTGAACTTCATGGAACAGAAAACAATTCAAACATCCAAGACAGAACTTTGTGGCATAAATTTCAGTTGTCTGAGTGTCTCTCTATCAGTTTTGTGTTACTGTAACAGATTACCTGGGGCTCCATAACTTATACTGAAAAGAGGTTCATTTAGCTCATAGATGGTGGCTAAAAATCCAAGGTCAAGTGGCCCCAGACAAGGGCCTCCTGATCACATCACCAGATGGCGATGGCAACACCCAGTAGAAGTGTGTGGGAAAGTGCAAGTGTGCAGCAGAGGTAGAACACTGGGGCAGCCTCGCTTCACAACAGCCTGCTCTCCTGGTAACCAGCCAAGGCCCTTGAAGCCTATGCCGCTCCTGTGGGAAAAGCATTGATCCTGCCCACAGGTGGCATTCCACAACCGATGGCCCTTCCCTCGAGGCCCCAGTCACAGACCCTGCTCTGCAGAGAAACAGCTTTGACTTGAGTTTTGACGACACAAACCACACCCAAACCATTGCACAGAATTCTTTCCAGCATGAAATGGTCCTTAGGAAAGCTCAGCCAAGACATCTCATCTGTGCCTCTTCTTTGAAAAGGCCCAGAAGAAAGGAATGAGGCCTCATGAGGGCTCTGCAGTTCACTTCCTTTCCTCTCTTCACATTCAGTGAATTAACATCTTGAGTAAGTGCAGGATTTGGATGCTTTTTATATGATGCACAGATTAAAATGCATCGGCATTTTAGAAGCCACTGAACTGCTGGTCTGAGTGAATACAAATCACCACCTAAGAGCTCAGCCTGCAGACCCAGGGTCCAGTCACACACAGGCTGCACACTCATCAACATGGGGCAAGCAGGCCTGAGAGACACATGAGGAAGGGGTATGGGCAGCACTTGAAAGGAAGCGAGACCTACAGAAGGACTCGGAGTGCGCTCCACTCCCGTCACTCTGGGGACACTGCAGAGGGTGGGGCATCAGTTCCTTTGGAGGGCGACGAGCAGGCAGCCAGCTACCTTGTCTGCTGGTGACAGGTGATGGGATCTGCCCTTTCCAGGCATCGACAGCTATCACAGTACACTTGAAGTCCAGCCCTGCAATGCTGCTGTGAAGCGTCTATTTCCTATAGCAGACAAATTAAAGCTGCTCTACCGAGACTGTCTCTAGTATAAGGAGAATACACATAACTTTATTCTACAAATTTTTTCCCAAATCAGCCCTTTACAAGGTAGTTGCTATAACTGAACTATGAGCAACTCATAGGCAAAATTCTGTTGTAGTTATCTTTGCCATAGCAACCTTTAGTGCCTTGCATTTAATCAGCAATAAATAACTGATTTAAATAACAAGGTAAAGATGAGTCAATGAGCTGAATGGATTGAAGCAGCATGATGCAGATTGAAATAACTCAGTGAAAAGCTAAGCTCCCTGCCCCCACCTTTCAGCTCTAATATCCTACTGTTATTTCTCTTGTGGCCTGCCCAGTCACGTGACTTGTGTGCTTTGACTGGTTTCATCCATTACAGAGAAGTGAGCCAGACTGTCTGAGTGTTTCTGGGTCGTGGGATGCAGTAAGAATATGTGAGCGACACTGCATAGCACGTAATCAATAACTCACATCACTCTGAAATCCTCAGGTGAGAGTCGCCATCCAACACGCCTTCCCTGCAAGGCCCAGTTTGCCTTGGCATTCTGTCTCCTTGATTTATACTACGATTGCCAGGGAAGAAATACTTTTTCAGAGGAAAGCAAAAAGTAGCAGCAATATTTTCTTTCCCACAATGTCCACCACCAAAAGAAAAAGTTATAGAGTAAATGAAATTTTAAAAAATAACTTTTCTGGAAATACTTTGTACCAACTCACAGCCAAAGTGTTTTCGCTGTAGACTTTTCCTCATACCACATTATGAATCTAATGGTAATAATAATGCTCACTCACTGGATCAAGAGTTCAATAGCTTCTTATCTATGAGGAGACAGCATAGCATCTT